TTCGATATACTGTATTATATATAAATTTTAATTGAGCTATCTTAACGAATATTGATCCAATTTTGATGATTTAACTACCATTATGACTGAAAAAACATGCTGAATAATATTTATTAAAAAAATTACAAGTTTTATTAAAAAGTTTCGAAACTATTCGCATTTTTTTAAAAATGTTTAAATTATTTTATATCAAAATATTTATAAATTTTAATTGGGTGTGGCAACTTAGTGAAGTAGTCTAGTCGTTACCCCACCAAGCAGCAGGTCTAGTGTTCGAATCCCACGGACGATGTTTTCAAATACTGGGCTGTGTAAGGTTAACAACTATCTCAAAAATGGCTTAGATCTTTGACCTGTAATCTTAGGTAACACCATTCTTGAATAGGAAGTAAGCTATCGCAAAGTGGTAGAGCGTGGGCCTTGCATCAGTGTACAGATTATGCAGAGGAATGCATTCCGGTAATTATTGGGTGCAAACTCTATGATAAGTCAATGCTGTGTAAATTCTAGAAAGCTGGAATAACTGAAAACCTGTTTGGAAAGACCCAAGTAGGGATGTAACAGAAGTTTTCAACGATACTGTGGAATGAAACTTGGACAGCACCGGTCCTGGAGTATTGTTTAAACTAAACCTCTTGAGGTGAGGGGTCAACCAGGGTGGCCGCCAGAGTCGCACTGGAGAAAAAGGACAAGTGTTATGAAATCTCGTACCAGGAGTTTGGAGTCCAAGGGCATTTAAAGCTAGAATAAACCGATCTCGTTCCGGGCTAACTAACTGGGATCGAATATTAAGCTGAGAAGAAGGAACTAAAAGGGAAGTGAAGTGGGCATCAAGGTAGATGTGAACTCTATAAGAGCAGGAGATATGTAGGGATAATACCCAAGTACTAACTTCGGTTTAAAGGCGTAACATCTTTGATACCTAATCTGGAGTGTGTGGGACACAGAAGGGTTGGGTAGGTATATACTTGCTGGCAAAACCCAGACAAATCCCAAATTCAAAAAAAACAATTGCTATTTTTAAATAATTAAATCAAAAAAGTAGTCTTAATATTTTGTAAATATATTATTTATAGCAATAAAAATATCTACTATTTGTTTAAACAAAAATTATTAATAAAGTTTTTGAAAAATTAATTTGGAATGAATTTGGGATTTGGGCGCGGACAAATCCCAAATATAGTAATTTGGGATTTTGCCAACATGTATAGGTGAGTATATATAGTCTACATAAAATAATTAGTTTACCCAATATAGATAAAGTAGATAGCAGTGCTGGATATAAAGGTACTAGAGTAAAATATATATCAGGTATGGACCGGTTAGATTAAATTCGATACTGTAAATGCAATTTGTACAAGAGTCCTTGTGATCTTCTATATCTAAAATGTCAATAAATTCTAGTCTCCGGACACTTAACAAAAAAAATAAAAATAAAAAAAATAAAAAAAAATAAAAGATAGTACTCTTGTATAGAAAATTTTAATAAAGATTAGTATTTTACTATTGATAAAATAGCTCTAAGTAAATAATAGAAGAACAACAAATAAGTTTTTTTACTATATTTCTTTAAAAATTTTGAAATATATGACTTTGCAAACCCTTTATCATATTCTTGCTATATTTTGGTGTTTTTTTAAAAAATTTTTTTTACTAAAAAGTAAAAAATTTAGTATACATTTTTTTAAAAAGATCAACATTGTTTATATTTCCAAATCAGTAATAGATATTACAAAAAGTCACACTATTACAATATAAGATCAACTAGACATAACATGTGTTAATATTATAAAAAAAATAAAAATCTAATATGCTTTTTACAACCTAAAGCAAACTTATTTATAGTATAAAGATAGAGATAAAGTAAAGTTGTCTTTATTTAATATTATAAAATTTTTGAAGCTTTTTTTAGTTAAATAAGGTTCTTTTTGTTTTTTATTTTTATTTTTTGTTTTTTTCTTTGTCTATATTATTATTTTTCTATTTTTTTTTTCTTTATTATCATATTTATTTTATTTTTATTTTTTTTGTATTCTTTTATTTTTTTAAGCTTTTTGTAAAAAAAAAAAATATTAAAAAAAGAAAGCCAATTCTAACAAACTAGCATAGGCTTTTAATGATTTGATAAATATAAATTTAGCAAGTTAGGCCTCCAAAAATAAAAGTATATATATTGCAGCAAATTATACAGTATTTGAGCACTATTTAAATAGCTAAGTAAGTTTTTATTTTGAAGTAGAAAGATTAAAGATATTTAGTTGTTATAGACTTTTTGTTTGAAAACTATGTATAGTATATTTAATATATATTTCTAGACAAATAAAGACAGAATTGCTAATATTTATATATATATATATATATAAAAGAAGTTAATAAAAATACAGTAAATTAATTTTTTTTAAATAAAAGTTTTTAATAACTATTAAACCAAGTTTAATAAAAATTTTTTTAGTTTAATTTTAAATAATTATTAATAAATTAAAATAAAAAATTTATTGTATAAGTCTTATGTAACAGCTTATGCTTTTTTCATTTACTTATTAGCATGAGGTTGTTATATCAGGCACTGTATAATAAGATAGTTATTGTATAGATATGTTGAATAACCTAGTTATACATATGGTTTCATATTTAAATTCTGTGCCAAAGGCACAGAATATGAACTTATGTGTAACTGGGTTATTTATTACATATCTATACAATAACTATAATTTATTATTTGGTTTGATAGTTGTTAAAAATATATTTCTAATTTATACTACAAGTGATTATTACTTGTAATCAATTTGCCAATTAAAATTCAAATTAGATATAATATGTAAATCAATTTTGTATAACAAATACAATGAATTTTTTTAAAAAACTACTTATATCTTAAAATTTTTTCTATAAAACCATCTTTTAAGTTCTAATATATAAAGCTTTACTCTAATCTCTAACCCTAACCTCTAACTCTTATCTAGGGTTGTTAATGGAGTACTCCAATCAATAATAAAATATATAACCACTTCAGAGGTGGGTTATATGTTTTATTATACTGTAGTCTGGAGTACTCCATTATCCTTACCCTAATCTTAAAAAAATTAATTTTTGTTTTGATAAAAATTAATTATTTTTGTTTATATTGTAAATCACAAGTAATAATTACCTGTGGTAAATATTAGTTAATTTCTAAAATATTTTAGTTTAAAATTTTAAAATAATTTGTTTTATTTCTATTAACTTTTTCTTATAAAGAATTAATTGTACATAAATATACTTTATATTATTAATATTTTTTTAAAAATTACAGTATAAATACTTTTTAAATTTGCTTAGCATATAGATAAAAAATAATACAGTATTTGTATTTTATATACAGTATTATATAAATATGTATAGTAATTTTAAATAAAAATACTATATCTAAAAATAGCTAAAACATTTGTTTGAAAAAAGCAGTTTTTTGTAGCAAAAAAATACTTTATAAAAAATAAACCACTGTAAAATAAAATTTTCGCAATTATTTTAGTTTACAAAAGTAAGTGACGTAAAAATGTCTACATTATTTATCGTTATAATCAACTTGACATAATTCCAGTTTGTCAATCAATGTTCGATAACTTTCTGTGTTCGCAGTTTCGATAAGCGTTGATAAGTTGAATGTATAACTTTGCAAAGAGTACGGAGTATTCGGAGCAAATATTTATGAAGCAAAAATAATACAGCAACATTTCAGTGAATTGTTGAAAGGTCAGATATCAAGGTTCCGAATAAAGAAATTATAACTCTAGCCGGAAATTTCCGGCATATGCCAATAAGATAGCTATACTGTTATATGACTGTTATGTATCTGCGGATATAATAATACGTTGATCAGGCGGTTGATCAACTATATTTGATCACCCAGATATCAATTCAATTCATCCCTTTCCTGTAATAAATACATTTCTCCCAACAAAATAAACATCAATTTCTATTTTCCCATAGCGACATTTTAAAAGTAGAGTACCGATAAATTTCTTTCTACTGCTTGTATAGATTAAAAATATCAGGAGCTATGACTACTGAAGTTGCTGAAGACAAGAAGTCGACCTCACGTAAGAGAAAAACAGACGAGACTGTTGAGCGTAAAACAAATCCTAGACGTGCCGCGAAAACTAAGGCAGAAGAGGCAAAAGCGGCTGCTTCGACCTCAGCGAAAACTCAGGAAGGTAGCAAGACTAAATCTACTAAAAAAACTAAGACTGAGGTTAGTTTTTACTTAACCTTTAACGAAAACGCGCTTTATGTATTTTATATTGTGGAATATCAATAATGCATATATGAAAGTCAAATGTTTATAATTATGTTGATGATATTTATTTATTACTTTTATATAGAAAGGTGACGGGCCAAGCCTTCCTCCTGCTAAAAAGTTTGTAGATAATGCTCATGAACTTAAAGTGGTAATCACTCAACTTCTCGGAAAAGAGGGAAATCAAAGTAGTGACAATAAAGTTAAAGAAGGTGAAGAGGAAAAGGAGCCCGCAAATGCCGAAGCCCCAAAAAATGGAGATAGCTCATCTAGAGAACCTTTGTTCACTTTGACGGCCAAGCCTCAAAAGCATAGTACTGGTAACTATGGTTGGACGGCGAATGTTACCAAACAAAAGATCAAGGTCGAAATTGATGGTAATGAAGTAGAATTGCCAGTCACAATTAATTTCAATGTGACTGTCAGTGGATCAAAAAAAGGATAGGCTGAGATAATTGTTGAAAATTGATGTTATCAATGTTCTCAGAGAACGTTAAAGTTATTTTTGAGAACATTGAAAACATAAAATGTTCTCTTATATGAGAACGTATTAGTGGAATCTATGAAAATATATCACTTAGGCTTTGTATTCTTGTTTTAAATAAAGAAATTCTACATTATCCTTGAAATTAAGTAAAAATTCCATCAGCATATGTGGAGATATAAATTATGATATTAGGATTAGGTAGATGAAGTAAAATCATGAACCTGATAAGTTTTTTTTCTTTTGTCAATTAACCAATATAAATTTATGCTGTTAGTGTTTATTAATTTGTTATTCTTTGATTCTGCTTTATTTTCTTTTTTCTTTTTATTTGTCATTTTGTAGCTTGATACTTTGTTTAATTTGTAAAGTCGTTAACTTTTTAGATACTGTCAGTCATAAGATTAGTATTTAGACAGTCAACTAGCATGTAAAGGGTTGAGATTGGATGAATAAGTTTTATGAGGGCACGTATCTTTAGCTTTTTAACATGTATATAGTGAATTTTTTGACCTTAATAAAGGCAGGATTTGATTTATTCTAAACATCGTACCATATTGCTTAGATTCACAATTCATTGCAAGCTACCATAATTCGAGTGAATAGCAAAGTTTCTTGAGAATACTATGGGTATATTAACCCGTGTATTACGATAATACGAAAGCAGTAGATACTGCTACTGATGCGTACCTTTTTTTTAATATTTAGTATCACACGCTCTGTTTATTTTTTTTTTAAATACATTAAATACATTAAAAGGCTCATTGGAATCTCTATTATCTTTAATTACTAAAATGCACTTATTTTATTAGTATTCCAACCCTATTTTTGGTTTATAAACCTTAAGTTGACATTATTTAACTCAATTCTCCTTGATAATGAGGTTCTTTCACTTTGAAATTAGTTTATTCTTAGTTTGATTAACTTGGTTTATCATCATAATAATAAATAATTGACTTATTTAATTAGACCACAACAATTAACCTGTACGAACACATTAATCTCTTTATTTCCCTTGATGTCTTCAATCCAATATTTCACATTTACCCGCTTGATACGTATCAAGTTAAATCCGCATTCATTATGTGTCACTTTTCCACAAATAGAAATAGCGAGAATACATATCTATAGATCAATAATATTAGACATCGGGGAGATTAATTATTTGGAATGGTAGATATTCTTAATGACACTCAAATTTCCGCCCGATGAGCTGTTTGTATGCGTTGAATTGCTACGTGCATGAAATAATTGGTTGTTAGTGTAACGATCGATTCAATTTATCCGAATATTCTCAATTAGAACCAGAATTTTTAGAATTAATAAAGTAAAAATTCTGTCATTTCGTAGATTGACCAAATCAACGGGATCGAAAATACAACCGCCAAGCCACTTGCACAAGCCACAATGCATGTCGCATGACGCAATTGTGTGAATAATTTTCAGTATTTTAGCACAAGCTTTAGACAAATCATAGTACGGCAGTAACATGTGTCTAATTAAACGTTTAGTAAGTTTTAAGATTTATTTATTAATATATATGGTGCAATACTGTATCATTAGGTCAAAAAGAGAAAGGGTGCTGTACATACGTGTCTTAGTCAGAATTGAAACTGCATGTTCTCATTGCTCTCCATATGAGAGTTTTAAGTTCACAATCAAAAATAACAAAAAGTTCTATGCGACTAATGTGTTAGATGCCTAAATTATAGTGTAAAATACTGATCTTAAAATCAGGGTTAGGAATTATAGTAATGTTATAGATTTTTTGAAACAGGTACTGTTTTTGTAACTTACACACTTTCACTATTCTTGATCTGGTGTAATCTCGTTAAATACATAAAATCACGAGATTTTTCCTCTTTTTTTTTGGCTAGTTCAGGGAACGCTAATATATAGGTGGGTCTATCTGCCTCTTGCTGTTTTCTCAATTCACCAAACCCTTAATCATTTAATCACATTTCTTATTTCTTGTTATTGCATTTTGCTGACCATATAACTATTAGTAGAGAATATGTACGTTGATTAGTTTATTTCCAAGAACCATCAAATATATTTTTAGTTTTCTTTTACCATGCTTTATATGTTATTTTTTTTTTTGATAGTTAATTTTATCAATTAGAAATTATATGGTAGGCGACTTAATATATCTTATGATCAAGTTTATTTGTTGCTATTAAAGACTTTATAACGATAATTGATATCTTTATAATTAGATAAATTCTGGTATATATGTAAAATTTATTTCATTCAGATAAATATATGTCTATATAATTTATAATCTATCATTATTACAATATACAAAGAGATTGAACATTTTAAAAGTTCAAAACAATTATTATTCATTATTATTGAAATGTTCATTAAAAAAAACCAATCATTTGGTGTTTATATTATAAAGAATAAGGTTATAAATGCCATAACAAAAAAATTGTTCAAAATAACCGTCTATATATTATTATAAATACTTCAAGGGAGGAAAAGACCAATTTCCGAGGAAATAAATTGTCTTTGTAATTTAGATAAAAAAAATTTAAGCTTGTTCTCATCTAGGGTTTCTACATTATTAGATAACCATCTGACCAAAGGGAAAATGAAGGAAAAAAATGAAGGCAAAAAGATGTATACATAAATTTAAAAAAAAACCTCTGTGCTAAAAAAAAAAAAATATTAGATGTAAGGAAATAACTGTATAATTCCTAATTTCGTTTCACTGCACTTCTTACCAACGATACTAGCTCAAACAACCACCACCTTACCAATTAGGTGTCATTGAAGCTCTACAAAGCATTCTTTCTTGTTAAATCTTCAAATCTCTTAAATGTATAACCGACAAAAGCTAAATCTTTTTGATTAAATTCGCCAGTAGAGCTTGAGACACGTTCTGAATAAAACAGTACAAAGTTACTATAAAATATTAATACGCGCAACAGAATATTAATTAATACTATGATATACCAGTTGTCTGAGGTGTATCAGGAATCTTTTCCAGATCTTCTGTAGGAAAGTAGCTAGTATCAGTAATTGATTTCAGATTAGGAACGAATGGTGCTTCAATGTTGCGAATAGTTTCCCAATCTACTCCAGCAAAGAATGGATGTTGTTTAATTTCATCAGCACCATGTAAGCCTAGACGTTGTTCAGGTGCACAGATAAGACTATATGTGATAGAGTAATGTTATATAAGTTTATATAAACATATTGAAAAAATAGTGATTTTCTAATATGCAAAAACATAAATATATGATGTACCGCCTGATTAAATCTTCAGCCTCACCACTCAAATGAACATCATCAGGGAAATACAATTGATCCCGCCAGTTGATAATTTTTCTATAAGTTTCATGAGCACTTTCACTACAGAACGGGGGATAACCAACAAGGCATTCAAACATAATAGCACCAAGTGACCACCAATCACATTCTTGGCCGTAGCCCTGCTGTAGGAAAATTTCGGGAGCAATATAGTCAGGAGTACCAACTGTAGAATAAGCCTAAAAAAAAGAACCGATTTTATTCAAATTTTAATAGTAGAAAAAAAAGGAATCGATAGAAATAAGATAAATAATAATACCAAAGCTCTTCGATTTTTTTTCCATGTAGCGATTCTGTCTTTACTTGACAATGTTAAATTGATATTAGCCTCACTACCTAATGGCCTGTGACCAGCTCCACTATTGAGATTCCCATCCAAAAGTCGTTGATAGTATGCAGAGTCGTGTGTTCGGTGAAAGCCGGTAGAAAGACCAAAGTCGGATAATTTGATGTGACCATCTTTATCAATCAAAATATTATCAGGTTTAATATCTCTGAATTTTGAGTGGATGTATATTTATATATTATATAATTTCGTTATTAAGAATTTAAAGTAAGAGAAAAAAAGAAAATGCAAACGTAAAAAAAAAAATTACCGATGAATGAAATTTAATTTATGAATTGCTTCAATGGCCAAGACGCATTCAGCAATATAAAATCTTGTTACATCTTCCGAAAAAGTGTCGTATTTAATCAGCATGGTCATCAAGTCACCTCCAGGCAAAAATTCCATAATAAGATAAAGATATGATGAATCTTGGAAAGAATAATATAATTGGACCACCCATGGAGAATCTGATTCGGCAAGAACATCGCGTTCGGCTCTTACATGGGCCAACTATATTATATAAAGAACTCAGTAATTTTATTCTGCCAGAGAATTACTAGTAAATCAAAATTCGGATAAATCAGGATAAATCACCTGATCTTTCTTAAACATATCTGCTTTTCTTAACGTCTTCATAGCATATATTTTCCCATTATCAGTTTTTTGAACAAGTCTAACCTGAATTCAATAATTTTTCACGAATGCAAAAACATATAATATATAAATTCATTTATGATTGATTTAATAGATTATATTTAAAAAAAAATGTACACACCTCACCAAACGCGCCTTTACCAATCACTTTAACAGTATTAAAATCTTCTAACCCCAATCTTGTTCTTTTAAGCCTTAAAAAATTCGACTCTTTACGTCCAAGTGACTGAAGTTGTCTGTTCTTTCGTTCTTCCGAACAGTCCTCTCTTTCAAGCTTTTTTTCAAGTTCATTACGTCTATAAAATAATCAATTATTACATCAAAGATCTGTGCTGTAAACGCTGGGTGGGATACTAAAAGGGCTGAACACTTATACTATAATTTCGATATAATCCGAATCCGCAAGAACAACCGTTTTTTTAGCTGGTAGTGATTACATACCGGTCGTTACGTTCTCTTGCCTGATCCAAAGTAACTTTATAAAAGTGTTCTAATTTCAGTTTTGCAGCAGTAGATCTATCCAAAGTGCCTTTAGAGAACCCCTCAGTGGACCTATCGAAAACTACGTACTCTTGTCCACTATTTCCACCACCATTGCCACCAAATCCAGAGCCTTGTGGTCCTGGGCCATAGTTCTGAGTACTCTGCATATCATAATCCATTTTTTTAATTCAGATGTGTATGCCAATTTGAAAAAGCGTCCCTATAATATAAACTTGTGTTCAAAATATGGTAGAGAGCTGACCAAGTTTTTAGATAATTTAGTGACACCGTGTTACTCGGCTAAATGAACTCGGTAATATGCAATTGATGATTTGTTTATGTTTCAAACTCTAATTAAATCAAAGATGGATTAATCCAGTAATCCAGTAATCATGTGGAAAAAAAACGTGCTCAATTTCGATAATTCTAATTGTACTTCTGAATTTTTAAAACATGGCTTCTAAAGATCAAAACAAGAATTCTAATGAATCAACAGATTCTGACAGTAATAGTGGACTAGGAGTGAAGCATGCACACAAACATAACCTAAAACCTGTGGACGTTCAAAGGCAGCAACTAGAAAAGTTATTACAAAGAGTCGATAAGCCAGTAACTATACCGGAGATTGAAAAACCAAAATTAAAAGCACCAAAAGATATTGTTAGAAATGTTCAAGGTAAAAATTTAATAAAATAAAATAAAAGATTGTTGAAGAATTAAGAATGACGAAATTTAATTTAAATATAGGTTCTAGTGCGGGTGCTGGAAGTGGTGAATTCCATGTTTACCGAGCTCATCGTCGAAGAGAATATACAAGATTAAAAATCATGGAAGAAGAAGCTAGAAAGGTTTTATTATATATAATATAAAAAATCTTTATATTAATTAAAATTTTATAAAAATAATAATTGTCTAATTTTCATTTAGGAAGAAGAAAAACGAGATTTTGAAGGCAAGATGGAAACAATTAAATCAAAAGAAGAAGAAAGAACTGCAAAAAAGCGGGCAAAAAGACAAAAGAAAAAACAAAAGAAAAGGCAATCCGGTGAAAAAAAACAAAAAACTCTGGAGGATGGTGATGATGGATGTGTTGAGTCGGATGGAGAACCAACTGAAAAAAATGATAACTTGCAGGATAGCGACGATGAATGAATATTTTAGAATAAAATTAATTATGGACTTTGTATGATAAGTATATTTACTATTATTATTAAAAGTTTTACAGTGCTTAAAACTTGTAAGATATTAAATAATTAAATTTCTTCCACACTCTAGATTTTTTAAAATTTTGGCTTTCTTTTTCTTGCAGTATATTTTGAATCCAACGGTACACTTTTGGTTCCTTTCATACGTGCAACTTCTTTTTTATGCATAACCCAATCCTTTTCTTTAATTGATTTACGTTGTTTTCCTTTTGTTCTTTGACGCTCTTGAATTCTATAGCGAATAAAATCGGATGTTAAAATTGTTAGAATGAAAGCAATAAAATTTCTAAACTTATATTATTTGCATGCATTAAATTCATCTAAAAAGGAAACAACCTCTGACTAGAATAAATTATAGTATTTGGCTCATCCTCTCCATCTACACCCAAAGCTTTTGGCATTTTCGGTTTACCGTCTTCAATAGGAATTTGGCCGGCAAATAAACAAAGAAAATACTTTTTTGCCTTTTTACTGTTGGGGTAATCAATTACCAGACCACCCTCAAAACCACATCTCATTGCTGCATTCATTATTAGTTCACATTGATGATCATTTTCTGGATAAAATTGAAATACAGCTCTAGCACCCCGGCGTAGTGATGAATAAAGGGTTGAAAAAAAGCGTGTGAGACGGGATTTAGGATTATGTGAACTATGATCTGCATTACATAGCCATTGTAGAACTGAAATACTATACAAGATTATTAGGTTACCAAGATATTATTGAAATGATTATACACTTGACCCCCGTTAATATCAACCTCTTATTAAGACAAAATAGAATCAGGGTATATAAAAACTATCCCGATATTATCAACTCTCGCATATATCAACATAATTGCCCAATCCAAATAGGTTGATATTAACGGGGGTCAAGTGTATTATAGTACTGTAATTAATTACCTTATAGCACCGTCAAATGTACCAGGACGAAACCCCATTCCCTGACCAACATCTTGTAAGAACAAATCACCTTCAACCTCACGATCCAATGCAACCTCTATTAATACAAAAAAAAATAAAAAAAATAAAAAATATTAATATTAAATATAAAATGTGTAAAATTCGTACTGAGACGTATGTTAATTTTGTAATTACGCAGCATAGAAGGGGAAATATCCATCCCTATCCACATATGACCTTCTTCATCTAAAATTTCACCACTTAAACCAGATCCGCATCCAATATCAAGCAAAAAAGCTGGTTCATTTTCTGGTAAATTTAATAATTCAAGGGCTCTATATGTCTGTTGTCAATATAATACTTTAATAATTTAATAAATTTATAGAAGGAATTCTCGATTAAAACTATTTCATAAGTACCAGGTCTGCTTGAACACTTTGTATTCGAGTACTGAATAATAATAAAAATACGTATTAAAAAAAAATTATTCGGAGTAGTGTTAATAAGGCGAATTAATTACTTTGAAGTATATTTCCTCGCTTCTTCGTCATTGTAATACTATTACTCAATAAATAAACAATTAGCTATTTAATTTTATTGATACGATTAATGTGATCCAAGTAGTTATCATGTATTTACAATTTCTGGTGGTGCTTGGTGCTCCGGGCGGGACATTTTTTTAAAATATTTAATAATCTTATTAAAAAAAAAATTTAATTTAATGTAGGAATATCAGCTTTCCATTGGCTGAAAATTTGTTTATCAAAAGATTATCTAACTGCTAATACCGTAATACAGTATAATACAGTAAAATACAGTACAGCAGTATTCAATCGACCGAAACAATCATGGGATATCAGACTTTGGATGTAGCGCTATCGTTCAAGAACAATCTCACTCCCCTAAAAAGCTCCATTTTAATAACCGATACGTTATCAGCACAGGGGAACTTTTTAGTTCATCATTTTATTGTAAATCAGATCAAAGCTGATAAACACGTTATTTTGGTTGGTTTAGCACAAATTTTCAATCATTACTTAAATATTGGAAGAAAGTTGGTATGTAATATGTAATTACGTGTCGCATTGAAAATTGTTTGAACATATAATTGATATCTTTTTTTTTCGATCGCGATAAGGGCGTGAATTTAACTGTTGCTTCTCAAAAAGGACAATTTTCTTTCATAGATGGGTTGACTTCTTTAACAATAAATTCTTCTACATCATTTCCAACTTCTATGATAACTCCTTTGTCAATTACCAATTGTACTAAGGAAACTTTATTAAATTTCTACAGCGTCATAAAAAAAATCATAACAACACACCATGCGTCAACAAATTCAAATGTTTTATTAATATTTGATGATTTGAGTGTATTAGTTTATTCTGGATTTAAAGTATGCGATGTTTTAGAATTCTGGGGAGCTTGTCGTGTATTAATAGAAAAGGTATTTGGCCTTTTATCATTTCAATTTGACTTGACGTGTTTGAATAATGAATAATTCCAGCTTTATATTTCACTTTACTGAATTATATAATCCTTTCTTTTAAAGTACGATGGAACATTAATTTCTCTAATCCACGCTGATGAAGTATCAGGATTGTCGAGCACTGACAATATCGACTTTGATGATGAAATTTTTGTAAAGTCATTGATATATAAATCTGAATATTTATTATCAGTGCGTGGTTTAGAGTCTGGATTTAGTAGAGATGTGTCTGGTGAGGTAAGTTGCAGCTAATCCGGTAATTACGTAAGAACTTATATTCCCTTAATTATATTATTAATTAAATGTCATTATTTAAAAGATAACTATCGCTCGTGGTCCGAAAAATTTTGAAAAGTGGTTTAGGCCTACCGCCTTACATTACAAGATACTTGACAATAATGTACAATTTTTTGCTAAAGGATTTTCTCAAGGCATTTTTTAAAAAGAGTCAGAATGAAGTGTTGTAAATGGTCAATTAACCTTTTAAATAATTCGCGTAGCATAATATGCCCGGAAGTTTACATGTGATTATCATCATGTATTCAACCGATCATCATCATGGATGGTTTGATACTTCTTACTTGCTTTTTTGACACATCTTAATATAATAATTTATTCTAATGTTAGTAGTCAAAGTTTAAGCTATCGTCCGACTAATGTTATAAAATCGGTTTGGCCGGTTTAGAAAATTAAATATTAACTATCATTGTTTAATTTTCTGATTTATATAAATTTAAATTTTTTAATTTTAATTTGTGAATATTATATATATATTGTATTTTATCTTGCTATTCAAAATACATTGAAACTATTATATTGTAAATACTGAATAATACAGTATTGTATAAGAAAAATTTAGGTTCTTTATATTAAAGATTTAAAGAATTTTTAAATCAAACCTTTGTCATTCTGGTTATATCGACATTTTTTAAATATACAGTATAATACATTTAATATAAAAATGTTTCTGGATCTGGATATATCGTTTATTTTTAGAGAGCGTCGATATAAACGGAGTGACATGTGTATTAATAATGTAAAAATCAGGGAATTAATTAGCTTATCGGAATTTTGAATTTTCGTGTTCAACGATAATCTATACTGCATTGATCGGCCTTTTACGCAACCGATCAGTGGCAGTACAGATTATCATTAAACACAACCTTAGAAAAAATTCAAAATTCCGATAAGCCAAGGATGTTATTATTACGTACAAACTTTGAGTAAATAAATATATGCGTATATTATTAATTGTTATATAGTTATTTTAAAAAAATTTAATATATAGTTATTAATAACAATCTGGTTTTTTTGTAAATTTAATCCAGATTATTTTTATATTTTGGCCGGGTTATAAAAATCAGTTTGTATTATAGCCTTATCAGTTATATAACTCGTTAAATAAAATTCTTACATATATAATTGAATTATTACTATTAAATAGTTTTTTTTTTTTAATTCTAGATCAATTATGCCTGCTACTTGCCTAATTATTATTCGGACTTTTCCGATTTTCAACCGATTTACTGTGATCACAAAAAGAAAAAAAGTTTTTTCAAAAGCTGAACAGAATACATAGAGAGCATCAAAGAAATCACAATCGCCGCAAAATATCATAACTAAGCCGTTCAAAAAATAACGTTAGAAAATTTAGAATAACTGGATAGGCAATAAATAAAACACGAACATGGTCACCGGGGGTTCTTGGGATAACAAAATAACCATTTAAAATAAGCGCATTAGAATTACAAAATTAGTATTATACTGCAGAATTTAGTCAACCACAGCAGAAATCGTCCTGCTACAATTCGCGAGTATAAGTCAAGTTTTGATTTCATTGGTTGATCAATAGGAATTCTGATTGGATGAAATTAAAGATTAACTCCGCATTACCCTTTTATATTCTTTTTTTTTTTTTGAAAAAAAAAAAAACTGATTGATAATTTCATCATCAGTGCCTTCAAATTTTTTAACTTGCTCACGTAAAGTTCGAAACTTTATTCGAAAAGAACCGTTGAATTTCATTAGTCTCTTCGATTCCAAAGTAAAAATTTAATGTATAACATTGTTCCATTTAGATCAGCTTCGTTAATGTGAAAGATGTATCTTAAAATATAAGAAAAAAATATATTCTTACAAAATATCTGTTATTTTTAATTAGAAAGAAGTTTTTTTCATGAAAATTAAACGTATTATAAAACAACATCGATATAAATAATTCGTGTAACAATGATCAATAAAAATAAAGACCTATGCTCAACACGCGACACTTTAAAAAAAGATGTCGATATAGACATCATTAAGTTCAAGCAAGAATTCACGATTATGTGTACTGTCACGTTTAAAGCAATTACCGAAAAGAACAAGGTATTTACGCGTAGATTTAAATCATGTGTATGGACTTTGGTAACTATCCCACCGACCTCCTCACTCTTGTCTTTATTATATTTTTATGGGGACACATGATCCACATAGGGTAATAGTGCTAAATATAATGAGCTAGTGGATGAAATCAGTCGCAATAATTTTCACGATGCCTCCGGTGCTAGAAAATTACGATTATGGATAATGACCTTCTCTCGTGCCACTTCGTTGTTGGATGAGTCCTGTGGTGCATTGGTGAATGCTATACTTAAACTTGATTGGACTGGTCATGATAATAATTTAGTGGTGATATATGTAATGTTCTTGGCTAATTTGATTTCATCGCATTCTGATTATATGCCTAAAGTCTTAGTAATGCTGGTTAATCATTTTGTATTCCGTGAGTATTAATATGATAAAATCATGATTAATTACATTTACACTTTATCAATCTATTAGATCACATTTATTTATTTATTCATTTATTATTCTTATTCTTATTTTTGGTTTTAGGCGTTGATAAAAACGGCATAATACCATCAAACCTCGAAAATATACACGGAAGAGTTCATTATGCCTTAAAAAACATTTTTCCAATGGTTCCGAGTGGTGCTGAGGAATTATTTGGAATTTTATCTCGCGGATTTCCTCATAAGAGTGAATCCTTACCTGCGCAAGTCACATATCTTAAAAATTTATTACAATTATTAGAATATATTCCATGCCTTCAAGGACAAGTTTTAGAGTTGATATTTAATCGAATTATTGAACTTGATGTAAGTTTTATTTAATTTCATATTTATTTTTTATTTAATTTATCATCTTGATTAATGAATGCGTATTAATAAATCAAAGACTGAAGTTCAAGGAAAGATCGATGAAATTGAAGATATGGAAGATGCATCAACAAAGTATGAATTAAGTTTACATTCGGATCAAGGTAGCCAATCAAGTTGTGCCTCTTCCATTTACGGGAAATCTCGTTTCAATTCTCCGACCGATTCTTATGACGGTGATTTTGATTACGGCTCCGAAGAAGAAGCTCTAGATATTGAAGATTCTGCTCCTTCTATTGTTGCTCTTGATATTGGTGAAATGATTGAAAAATTAGATTGTATGATCAAACTAGTTTTTGATTATCTTAAATGGTGTTTTGATAAAGGAACAAAGGACGAACGTGATGACTTATTTGATATCCTTTTGACCATTTTTGAGGAAAATATATTATACACCTTCAAATCTCGGTATATTCAATTCATAATTTTTTGGTACATTTCGTTGGATAAATCATACCCACGACAATTCCTCTCTTTACTTCTTAATAAGATACTCAATGACAAAGAACCTGTTATAATAAGAGAAGCTGCATCACAATACATAGGTTCATTTGTTGGTCGTGCTAATTATTTAAGTTCTACTGAGATCAGATTATGTATTCAGGCATTATTATTATGGACGGAGAGATATATTGAGAATTACGAACCTACTTTACAGTTACCTGATCCACAAAAACACATGACATTTTATTCAATCGTGCAAACGTTGATGTATATTTTTTGTTTTCGGTGGAAAGACCTTCGGGAAGTAACCGGTGGAATTCCTCGGTGGTGTTATGAAGTCGTAGGATATCACAAAGTAATCAATTCTTCGTTTCGACCTCTTCAGGTTTGTACTTTAATACTCAAATTCTTAAATGGTAATGTACTATATCATTATTAATTTCTAATTTATTTTTTTTAGGTATGTTCCAAGAACACGTCTGATATGTTTCAAGCAATTGTAGAAGCACTTCAATTTATGAATTTTGAAAAGCAATATTCAAAAAGGTTCGGCATTATAGAGCAAGGAATACTTAACATAACAGAATATTTCCCTTTTGATCCTTTTCGATTAAAAACATCACAACCATACATAGAACCAATATATCGAGATTGGGCAGGTATGCCGGATAAGAACCAAGTAGCTATGGAAGAATAAGGTTTCAAATGTGATCAGAATAATGTGAATTTAAAAAAAAAATCTAGCAGAAAAAAAAAAAAACGAGCTGTTAACAAAAAAAAAAAAAAGTACATTAATCAATAATTTCTGAGACCAGCTATTTGTACCATTATTATTTATTTGTAAATCAATTCAAATGCTTCTTGTATTACTTTCTACTGTATATGAAAAAAATGTATTGAAAATTCAAGATTTACAATATAAATTATGAAATAAATTAATGCAAAGTATCACTTCAAAACATACAATTGAATTATTACTGATGACATGACAGTAATAGGACTGAACAATTTGGTATTCGGTTACGAAACATTGATAAAAATTAACTGAACAGTTATTAAAGCCGTCAATAGTCGAAGTGGAGTTTTTACAGTTGTTTTTACACACTTTCGATTACCTTAAACTTTCTTCTAACGGCAAGAGAATTAGATTATAAGTTTCTTATATAAAAACCTTTTTCGCATCTTTTTACATTTCATCAATTCAATGTTCAGTTCATTTTTTATTTTAATAATTTTTAATAAATGTATACAATCTGTTCTATCTGATTTATAGGAATTAATTAATTTCACTTTGGACAATTATCAACAAACTCATTTAAAATAAAAAGATTCCATATATAAAAATAAGCAAAAATTAATACAACAAAATACTATCTATTTGTATGATATTATTAATAGATATATTTGAATATATATATATTGAAACTAATTATAAATACATAATATTTTGTTGCACTATTTCTGACATACAGTATTTATTGTTAATTGATTTACATTTAAAATGTGACACATAGGACAAATATGGAGTCTATGTAATTTAAAGGTTCACTGCCGCAGCATTTTCAATTCCATCATCAACATATTTGCACGCTAAATCCCAATAATGCTCACTCTTATGCTTTCTTAAGTAATCGCGTGCCATTTTCTCTGTTGGGCACGTTTTAAACCAAAATCCTTTAAACCCATGATCCTTTACTTCTCCTTCCCAAATCAAGGAACATTTATTTTCCTTAGGGGGCTCCATGGGTTCATCAGCAGGCTGTTCACTGGTGCCTTCTCCTATTCGTGTAGTATCAGACCAGTCAATGCGTCTCAACATCAATTTCTTATAATATTTGATAGCTTTAGGTCCTCCTTCAACAATCACTACAGTAAAATTCGGATTGATTATGACGGTGCCTGAAAGCCCAAGCTGTTGAGCATTCATGTCTACTTTAAATTTCATTTTAGGATGTGAAAGATCATTTATTCTATAAAAAAAAATAAATTTGTAAATAAAAATGTAATCACAAATCCACAAATCACAAACATACAATTCGTACAATTAATAAATTAGGAAAAAATTTTTATACATACTTAAAAACACAAACTATTGTCGCCGTCTGCTTATCTTCATCCATTTTCTTTTGCTTTTTTTCTTTTTTCTGCTCATCAGTTAGCTTGCGTTCTTCATTTGCCTTTTGATGGGTTTCTTGTCGCTTTTGCATTTCTCTACGGACTTGAGCTTCAATTTTTGTCGGATCCTGAATGGCATCGTTTGTAAGGACTCTCATAAGATTACTCAATTTGACTTAATAACCAGGAAAAGAAAATTATTAACAATAATTATATACGAAATTAAATGTAAGCAAAGATATTAAATTTTTATAATGTCACACCTTTAGGCAAGTCAGGGGGCAATAATCCCAAGCGAATTTTATCTTGTTTTTCTTTTTGCAATTCTAACCGCCGCTGTTTACGCAACTTCTTTTGCTCCTATAGTTTAAATAATTTTTATTATTATGTATTATAAATAAATATAAATCAAATTATATAAACAAACCTTTTTAGTCAAAATCAACGGTTTTGGCGGTGGGGGGCCATTGTCACCTGGGGGTCTAATTGGCACTGGATGTTGAACAAACCAGGTAGCAAGAGAATCCTCATCATCTATTTTAGTTTTACCAGCATCAACATCATCATAAGTTTTATTTAACAAGAAAGGTAAATCCCACCATTCTATCACAGGTGGTGGATCTCTCTATTATAACAAAGTTAGGAAATGCTTATTATTAAAATAAAATACAAATTAATTAAATAATGTATTAATTACCTTAATTGCTTTATCCGTTGAGTCAATTTCTGCTTCCATCCCGGCTTTCTTAACACTTTCGGCGATTTCTTCTTTCAATTTTTCCAACTTGGCCTACAGCGTTCAGTGATTCAACATTAATAATACATTTTATAATTAAATAAATTATATATATATATATATAATCATTTTTAATACCTGTGCTCTTATTTGATTTCCTAGTGCTTCATATTTACCCCTCTGAACAAATTTAAATTTTTTACGGAGACGTCTTTGAGGTGCAGCGGCACCAGCTCTCGGATCGTAATAAGGATTCTGTGTAATATCATCTAATTCTTCAGAAGGAGCCAATGACTTCGATTCTTGTTTCGATACAGTAGGTGCGAGCCTTTGGTTTGCCTGAGGCGAACAAATACCAACATTTCAACATTATGTTCTGTGTAGAAAAAGACTGTAGGTGTGCATTAAACGAAACGATAAAAAAAAAAATAACATGGTCTAACAATGTTTATACAAGCATACCTTCACAGTAGCAAAATTAGGCTTTGGCATCAACGCTGAAGCTCGTTTCAAATCCAATTTTCCACTTTGATCTAAAAGAAGTGCAGGATGTGATTCCACTTTAAGTCCTCCTTTTGCCTTTATAGAATCATCACCCAGTTTTACCAGAGGATTTGTTGATGGCTACATAATACAAATAGAAATTTTAATATTAAGTTTATGATATCGTAAAAAAAAAAAAGAGGAAAAAAAAAAGATATTTCACCAAATAAGGATTGGCTTTAGCCAAATTCACTTTGATCTTCTCTTTAGCCTCTTGAATTTTACGTTTAAGATCTGGGTCAATCCCTGACACAACCATGTTATTAGGTTGATAAGGAAGATTTGAAACCACGGGAGGTTGTACGGGTGCTGTAGTCTTTTGCTGAGCTGGTTTAAAATTTGCAGCCATGGCCTCTAATTGAGCTCGTTTTTGCGCAATCATGGCTTTGATCTAAAAGATTAAAAATACGTATATATATATTTATTTATTTATTTATTGATAATTTAATAAGGTCTAGAAATAAAGCAAAGTTTAAAATCATTACTTGATCAGGGCGAGGCGCCGCATTCTGGACAGTGGTAGGATCTGTCGGCGTAGGAATAAAACTGGGAACTCCCTAATAATATCTTTGTATTAGAGAAATATCGTCCCTTTAAATCACGATTAAGGCTTGATCGTAAATACTTACCACGTTAACACTATTTAGAAATGTCATCAGAGCAATGGAAAAAGAATCAAGAGTGAACATTTGAAAAAGACATTTGCTTACTTCTTAAATTTCTTGCTGTCAGACTCGGCTTTTACCATTGGTTCATCTTCATCGCCGAAGACGTTAGCGGTACGTCGTTTACGTTGATCCATAACGAAATTCTCGAGTGAAAAGACGAAAAATGGTTAATTACCCAAATACAGTCGTCCTCCCATATAATCACCCTATTTGGCTACCACTTTTTGGTGATTATATAAAGGGGTGATTAAGTAGAATTCCTTCTATATAATCACATAATATAAAATAATATAAATAATATATATAATGTGATTTTAAAAAGGTAAAATATATTATTTAAAATGTCTATTAATAAAATAAAATTCATTATCTTTACTCAAACCTTGACGATGAATATCTCAATAACTATTGATCTAAATTGGCTCAAATTTTTACTATATATAATATTGGTATTCTTCTATTATATATAAAACTTTCAGCCGATTTGGTCGAGTATTTCTTGCGTAATTGCTTGTATATGATAGGCAATTTTTTAAAAACTTTTAACTATCATATACAAGTGATTACTCCAGCAATACCTGACTAAATTGGCTGAAATTTTTATATATAATATAAGAACATACATATTATCTATAGTAAACATTTGAGCCGATTTAGATCAATAGTTATCGAGATATTGATCGTCAAATTTGAGTAAAAATAACAAAGAATTTATTATTAAAAATTTCGCTATTTTTACTCAATCTTTGACGATGAATATCTCGATAACTATTGGTTTAAATCGGCTCAAATTTTAACCATATATAATATTGATATTCATCTATTAAATATAAAATTTTAAGCTGATTTGGTCAGGTATTTCGTGAGTAATCGCTTGTATACAATAATCAATTATTTTAAAAATACTGACTATCGTACACAAGCGATTACTCACGAAATACCTAACCACCAAATCTGCTCAAATTTTTATATATAATAGAAGAATATCAATATTATATATGGTTAAAATTTGAGCTTATTTAGATCAATAGTTATCGAGATATTCATTGTCAAAGTATGAGTAAAAATAATAAATTTTATTTTATTTATATTTTAAATTTTTTTAAAATTTTAATTAAAGATATTTTTACAAATCTATAGAATTTAAATAAAAAATTTTTATTAATTTGTGATTCTAATGGGGTATTTTTATTAGTAAATTTACAAAAAAACTTTTTTAAAAAATGTGATAGTGATAATATTATGATTGTGATTATATAAAAGTATTTTTAATATTAAAAAAAACGACCGTAAAAATTGTGTGATTATAGAGTTTGTGATAGTATAGGAGGTGATTGTATGGGAGGACGACTGTATTTAAGATATTTTTTGTGCTAAATTAATAAACCTCACTGCATAAGATAAATCATAGCATAACTGTAACATTTTATTATAATGATATATAATAATTTGTATATATACCATAGTACTTTACTAAAATTCGACATTAAACCAGGTTTAACAGTAAATAAAGTTTAATGATAAATTTGGTAAATAGTTTTAATATAAATCCAACTAAATATTAACTGGTTTCAATTATTTATAATATAACTCAAATTTTGAGTTTAACATGATTTGCATAAATAACTATATAGCTTGATTATTATAATGCTATATTTCTTAGAATGCATTTATTGGAAAAGACATGCTAAAAAAAAAAAATTATGCAGTAATGATAATATATATATGATTAGACTAGATGTGGTTAGATTCAATCTGAGTATAAATATATCAGCTTTCTAATATTTGTAAGTAAAAAATAAAACAATTACTGTAGATATAAGAACTTTTGGATAGAATTGAAATCAATATTCAAATTATAATAAGCTTATATTCTATTGATTACGCTAGAGTGAAACCCCAAAGTTCGAGTATGATACTGCTATAGCCAAAATTTATAAAATTAAAAGGTAATTTGGATCAAATTACTATATAATTAAAAGGTAATTTGGTTGTGAGAATTACAAATTACACAAATAGTAAATATTGCAAAAGTGATACTGAAATTTCAGAAATCACCCTAAGGCAGAACATGTTTAGTGATAATTGTCACATTTTTTTATTATACTATTTATCACATCAAACAATAAACAATGTAATAAAGGGATGCAACAATTACTAATAAACAAGCAGTGCCCTAAGACAATCTATTCTGTGAAGTAAAATGCCCAAACAAGATAACCACATTTCAAATTATTTGTCAGATATGCATTGCTGAGATGAGTGGTAGAAATCATTTTTCCTAGAGACATTAAAATTCAGTAATACATTAAAAAAAAAATAATAATAAGCCTGCTTATATGTTCATATACTTGGTAATTAAAAAGGTCAAATTTTTTATTTTTCAAAATTATGTGATTTTACAAGTTTAATAGTAACCATCAAGTTTTTTATACTTGAATACAACATAAAGCAATTAATTTTGCCTAATATGCTTTCAAGCATAGTAAATAATAATAAAAGTCTTAACTCTAGATATGAAAAGGCAAACAAAGAATGCATGAAAAACACGTGACAAAATTGAATAAACAAAAAAATAAAAGAAAGAGCCAGAATGCGTTAAATATATATAAAAAATATAGCGAAAAATTACATAAACAGAGAAATAAAAGAAACAAACAGAATGTATTAAATATGCACCAAAAATGTGCTTTAGAAAATGTAGATAAACGTCTTAATCAAAATTAAAGAAGTTTTGTTCAAAAAAAACAAAAAAGGTCAGAACAAAATCATGAATCAGAATTGATGGATATTGGACAACTTTCAATAGCAGATAATAATCTTTTACTTAACTTTCGTAATATAATAAAAAGCTTCGCAACAATCTCTGTAGTATATACAATAAGCAATTTTTGTCAATTCAAATTGTTAAAGATAAATGTAGATGCTATTATGCTAAGAAGAGCCTACCAAAAAATTTTTAGCTGGGAACAATATGGACTTAGATAATAATAAATTTTTTAGTACAATATGTTTTATGAGAAAAAAAATATATATATATATATATATATTTTTTTTTTTTAGGCGAAGTGCTTTAAGAACTTAAGAGCTTTACTGAAATAGAAGAAATACTTATTGTCCAAGTATTTACAGTTGTATCAGTTTACAATCTTCATGATGGCCAATATACATATCATGGGAATGTTATCAAATTTCTGCAGGATGTGCAAAAATTTACAACACGTTTTCCACACTACCCATTATCATTGGATATGCTAGTTGTACGGCGATACTCAGCCAATAGATCGATGTTTCATGATTTTAATATATATAGAGAAAAAGTTACCTGGGCTCTTCACTGGTTAAAAGAAAATAACATATTTTACCACGATATTGAAATTGATAAAAATGTATTACTGTTCCTACCTGACAATGACTTAATCATTGATTAGCTTCCACAAATCAGAAGTAATCAATTTGCTCATGAAAATGGTGAACAATCAAATATTAATGAAAGTGAAAAGAGGGGTTTAGAAAACTGTAAAAATGAAGAAAATAAAGAAAATGACAATTTTATCTTGTGAACCTTTGTTCCTGTATTGCCTCCTGGGAATCATAAGAATAATTTGATCAATGACACCTTAAATCATCTACAAATAATTACCTATTGAATAAAAATTCATTAATTGATAATCCACGAGTCAATCAGAGAAAATGATTTACATTTACTAAGTAATTGTGATGCAAATTAATTAATAAAAATCCTGATTTGTAAATATGAAGTTTTTTTTTGTACATATCAGGTATTATATGTATTATATATATGTATTATATATACTATATACATAATTCACTAATTCAAAACTGCCACTACCAACTACAACCGCCTAGCCCAGTCTAACCCATCCACTAGTATAGAAATACTATTTTAAAAACACTTGCTAGTTTAGAAACACCCGCTAGTTTAAAGACTCTCACTAGTTTAGAAATATCTGCTAGTTTAGAAACACTTGCTAGTTTAGAACACCTGCTAGTTTAGAGACACCTGCTAGTTTAAAAATACTCACTAGTTAAAATTCTACCATAATACTTATACAATACTGAATCATAAAGATTATACAGATCAGTGTAGTATGGTAAATTAATTATAGTTGATCAGCAAGGTATGCTTTTAAAAATCAGCTTCATACCATTCTAATTTGTTAAAACCTCAAAACAAATTAAAGAATACAAGCTATTGAAGAAATTCGTGTTTTATTATAGGAGAATATGATATTGAGAAGAAATTAATTATATGACAAAAGGTATAATGAATCAAGTGCTGATTTGTAGAGATTATTGAAATTTTGTGTTATAAAATTTTTACATAAGCAAATCAGAAGTTTATACTTTTTTTATCAGCTAAAATATTATGCCATGACAAAGACACTTAAGTAAAATCTCAATTCAAAAAAGACAAATGCAGTGAAATTAAACCTAAAGATATATAGATAGTGGAGACCCAAAGTTAGTTGATGGATTGTAAGTATAATGTGTGCTTGTAAATTTTTGGTAATTAAGTTTAAATACCACACATGTCGCTACAATACTGCAATAGTCTACAAGTTTTTTTAACAGAATTTTTTTTTTTTTTATAATTAATTACAAACACAATCGTGATAATTCCAAACTACAGTAAAACCTATTTAAGTGTATGCTCTTGGAACAAGCTTTAACAATGTGCACTTAAAGATTAACAAGAAAAAGTGTATATATGAGAGGCATATATATATTTGGGCCAGAACTTAAGTATGAATTTAGTGTACACTTTTACTATACATGCTGTATTTAGGGATGGTAAAAAAAATATTTACAAACCTTCTATAAGTGCATGCCCTAAATGCACGCTCAAGTTCTGGCCCGAATATATACATGCCCTCTATAAATGCTATTGATCTCTAAGTGCATATTGTTAAAGCTTGGTCTCAGTATGCACTTATAGAGGTTTTACTATATTATTGTCTAAAACATGCAATGTTTATGCAGAGTCTATATTTAACATATTCAAATCATAATTATTTTGGTTTAACCCAGTGAAAATTGTTTTTTTTTACTATCTCTAGCTGTATCATTACAATAATAGGTATGTTCTATTATAGAATTTTTTTACAATAAT